TCCATTTGAGTTTGTTGATCAGCAAATGCAATCCAATCTGAATTATATGTTGGTAATAAACCCATTGATTGACATTTATATAAAGCTAATGCTAAATGTGTAAGATTACCCAAAAAATACATTATTTTATGTAACCATATATTTCCAACTAGCCCTTCTTGTTCTAATGATGAAAATGCTGAGCTAAGTGAAAATATTGCCTAAAAAAAAATAATTTAAATTCATTTAAATATAAAAGAAAAAGATCATTGAAGACTACTTGTATAGGTTTCATAAATAACATAACAACAATCATAATTGACATAAGTGAAAATGTATTTCCAGCCATCCATGCTAAAATAATATTCATTGGTAATTGTTTTATTGGTTGTAATGCAATATCCCATGAACGTTTTGCTAATAAACGTTCATCATCTTCTTGTATGATTGAATCTGATACTCGTTGTTCACTGTAACCAATTGGTGATAATAAAAGTTTATTATTATTTGTGATTGTCGTTATTAAATTATTTTCATTAGTTGTAACAGCTAAGCGTTCATGTTTACGAATTTGTAAATCAATAAACCATTTTCTGCGTGAAGGACTAGAGCGTAAAACTGTTGTACTTGTTGGATATTGACTAGACATCTGAAAATAGTATTCAAATAAATCTTATGCATTTAATAAGCGAGATTTTTTTCTCTTCCTCGAGTACTGTCTATTTTTGTCGGCCCAAAATTTAAAAGATGAATGTCTACTCAATTATCTAGGCATCAATAGGTAGAGAATTGAGTAGGTGTTCATCTTTTAAATTTTACGTCGACAAAAAAAAAATTATTTGAAAAATAAAGGTAGTAATTTTATAGAACAGGGAATTCTCCATCATCGTCAACTGTTAGTGTGTGGTACAATAATCACAAACTCTGAAAGAAGAAACTCATTTTCAGAGAGACGTCGCTCCGTTTCTTTCCGCACAGCATACAATATTTCATCTAAAATAAAAAATAATAATTTCAAATAATATCTTTGTAAGTAGACAGATACTTTAATCTACAAAGTTCTTTGAAATTTGCTGTGTATCTTGACTTTTCAAGAGGATTTTTTTCTAAAAATCTAAATCTAACTATATGTCTGTAAAAAGAATCAGATACTGTCAAAATTCTTCACATTTGTACTTCAACTTAAGCGTACTTGTTTTGATGAATTCTAGCTTAAGTTACAGTTCTATTATAAGCTTGACAATAATTCTCTCATGATAAATGTCGATGGAGTACGATACATAAGATTATTAACTCAATAAACGACTCATTCTTATCTTTTCAGATGTTCAATTGATGTAGCACATAAATAATAGTGAAACAATTGTCTATGATACAAGAATAAAAGTTCCTGTCATACAAACCTATACGTAACATTCAACATTATTCAGTACATTTTTAACACGAAAAAAAAACAACTGCTCGAATACACTTGGCAAATCAAAAAAAAAACGTTCTGTGCGTTTTAAAATGTTTACTTTAAAAAAATTAAAATAAAAAATAAAAAATAGTGAATATCATAAATAGTTTTTATTTTTAATACCACTAAGTTCTGTAGTTTTTCTTCATACCAATCGATAGATTCGCGTGCGTCCATATGTTCATTTTTTGAATTCAATAATAAAATTCTAATAAAATATTCTTATCATCATATGATTAAACACTTTCTTTGAAGGTTTTTGTTAAAAAATGAAATATAATTATAAATTTTGTCATTCAAGTATATGTGAAGTGCAGTTTTAAGAATCGATGATGAAATATGAAAAGAATGGTTTCTATGCTGATACTAATAAAAACAAAAAAAAATAATTAAAATTTATCTATTATTTATAAAAAAAAAAAAAAAAAAGAATGAAAATGAATTTCAAAAGAAAAAGATTTTCTTTTAAATAAATAGTTTACTTAAAACAAAATTTTATCGATATACAAAAAGATAAATTGGAACTGGAAATAGAAGAAAAAAAAGAAACAAGCGATTAAAGTATGTATAAGATAATATTTTGTTATTATTTTGGTTGATCATCAAGTAAATTTGAATCTTTTACAGTTTTTTTCAAAAATCGACCACCAACATGTATAAATGGATTATTAAATGGATTAAATTGTGGATCATCGTTTCGATTTATATGTTCATTATTATCACCTCGTGTTATATTATATAAAATTGTTAGAATTGTAAGAAAAACAAATAAAATTACAAATATCATATAAACTATATAACGAGTACGAGATATTTGTGTTCGATTAAGTATAGAATCTTTTCGATTTGTTGTTTGACGAGAACGTAACCATCGAGCAAACCATGTAAAAACACTACGACGTTTATATTTTTCTTCATCTGGATCATTTTCAATTGGCTAAAATCAACAAATATAACTCTTTCAGATATATCAAAACCATTAAGTTGAAAGAATTTTTTTACTATCCTGACATTAATTAATATTTTTAAGGTAAACTGAAAGCAATAACATCAACAGTATAATACCACATAAATAGTTCGAGAATATTTTCTTTATATTTATTAATAGTCTAAAAATAGTTCTATATTTCATCATGATTTAGTTTTGGGTTAGACTTATTGACAATTGTAATTTGTCAATTGCAATACAAGGATCGTTATCAGTAATAAGGTAATGAATTTGTTTAATATTTTCAGATAATATCTCGATAACAGATCTATTAGATCATACTTTATTTTCTACCTTTTCTCAATTATCATATTAATTAAACAAATATAGAGCATTATTTATGTTAAGAAGAATATCTAGCTTATCTGTACGGCTATTCCCTACTTACAAACACTCATTACTACTTTAGACCATAGACAAAAACTTTGTATATGATTTATGCCATCGAAATGCAACAGCTTGTTTTTCTTATTACAAAAAGCACAATTGAAAAATAGATTTGTTTTTCATTCGAAGCATAAATTAACAAATGATTTTTTAATATTCGAAAAAAAAATTAAATTGTCATTCTAATCTAAAAATAGCAAGTCACATTTGTTTTTGATTATCAGAATTTTCGTTTTATCCTATAAAACAGTTATATAAACATACTTTCATTGTTAACATTGTTGATTGTTGTGTTGTATCAGTTGTTCGATGTGGAAGATGTGATAATCCACTTGTTCCTCCTTGTATACTATTTCCACTAATAGTTGAATTAACAATAACATATCCATTTTTTTCTGTTTCAGTTAATGATTGTTGTTGTTGTTGTTGTTGTTGTTGTTGTTGTTTTTCTTGTTGTATAATCGACTCATTAGATGATAAAATTGGTAATCGTGTTGCCCAATTAACAGTTGCTAATTTTTCTCGAAGACGATCAGCAACAGGTGAAACAAGATTTGATGGTGGAAAAATACATGTATGACATGTTGGACATGTATAACCATCAGGTGCTGTATGTGATGGTAATGAACGAAAATATTCATTAAGACAAGACCAATGAAATAAATCATAACAAATAAGTCTTATTGTTTCTTCACTTGTTTCACTTAATGATCGTTGACATAAAGAACAATTTGGATTGTAATCATTATCTTGTAACCAAGATATATAAGAACGTACAATACATTGTGGATGTTCATTAACAAGACATGATTCACAAACATTAACATGATGTTTAAAACAAAATAAAGTTGATACTTTGCGTTGTGGACATCGGCAAAGGCCCATGATCTAATCAATTATATGAAAACAAGAAAAATAATAACGATATAATTTTGAAGGCTAGTTATATTAGACAGATTGTGTCATTGGATTGAAATAGGTATTTATTGGATAATTAACTAACGAATGAGAAAAAATTCATTCTAATTAAATTATTCTTATTATGAAAAAAAAACGATTTATTTATTAGAATTTTAAAATTTAAAGCAACTATTCAATGAAAAATTATCAACAACACTATGTATATCATATTCAATTCTTAGAATTATTAGCAATGCAACACCTTTCTAAAATCTTGAAGCGATGAATAAATCCCAAATATTTTTATATGATATAATGAAGATTTGAAAAAGAAACATAAGTTTCGTATATTCATTAGCACCATCAATATATTCTTGCCATGTTGCTAAGAAGTATGTCGCTATAAGTTATAGAGAGCAGCAGAAGGAAAATGTGTTCAATCCAAAAAAATACAGCTTGCCAGAGACTTGCTGCTGGTGGGAAGAATCTCATTCGATTGTACATTAAATTTAAAATTTTTCGATACTTTAATCATTGCAAAGGATTTATTGTTTCGAAACCATGAGTTAAGTGCATAACTGAAGCATAATCTGATAATAAAATGTGAGTCATCCATGGTCTGACAAAATACCATTGGTTATATCATCATTTTTTTCTCCTATTCAATTATATACAGAAAAAATCAATCTTTATGGCTGATGGTCCATCATCAGTAACAACTAGAAATCAACGATCATCAACTAATTCTTCTCTACCTATTGAATATCAAGTTCGTCCACCTTATCTTCCATCTCCACGAGAATCTCCATTAACTGGTCTTGCTACACATCCTTATCGTCCACGTTCCATTTGGTACGAACTTTGGAAATCCAAATTAGCTTTTATACTTTTTGTTACTTCAACCACATTTATATATTTTGATTATCAACGTACACAACGTTATAAAGCAAAAAAAGCATTAGACACAGCTAGTGAAAAAATCGGAATCAAAAAATAAACATGGTTTTTGAAGTAACTCGTTTTTGATTAAAAGAAGTGTCTATTAAACGTTGGTATATATTTCCATTTATTGCTTATTCAGTATTTGTTCATAAACATGAAAATCTTCGACAAGATTATTTTCGTAATCAAAGTCAATTAGTTGGTGGAATGAAAGAGCCTAATTGGTAAAAGCAGATGAACAAAATCATTTGGTGTCTTTTTTTTTACTTTGTTTTTTCCTTATCCTTGCAGTTTTTCTAAAATAAATTGATTTGTTAAAACAGAAAAGGATTTTGTCTTTATTTTTTATTTAGTTTGTAAACAAAAATAATACAATGATAAAATGAAGAAAATACAAGAAAAAAGAAAAACTATAATTAGAAATATTAAAATAATTGATTTAGTTCTATTTGATTGAAACGGTTGTTTTAATGATAATAATTTTGTTGAATGTTGAATTTTTGATTGATGTTCATTAAACCAAATATTAAGACGAAATGATTGATGGACTGGTTGATGATTATTAAGATAGTTTTCAGCAAGACATGTATAATTTCCTGATAAAAAAAATAATTCAAAATTACACACTGAATCAGATTGAGATTATTTGCATTCATCTAATTTTTTATTACTAGTTTAATACATGAGATATTTGATTTTAAGATTACATTACATTGTGATTTAACCAAGAAATCATCCAAACTGCTACCCGCCGTTTGAGATTATATTCGGCTCACACAGATATCTTAGTGGAACTAATAAAAACCTAGAAGGTTATTTCTCTATGGTAGTTTGAAGTCGAGTTATGATCATTCTATTGAATTTTTGATCATTTTTACGTATAAATGAAAAAAAATCAAAAATCGAAATCTTACTATTGTCGAGATATTGAATTTTCAAAATAATCATCATTGATCGAAGGCATCTAACAAAGATCAGTTTTACTTAAAAACTTAACATGTCGACAAAGAAACATTTCTTTGATCAGAAATTTTATGAATATTCTATTGATCATCTGACCTATCTAGAAGTAAAAGTGTACGTCGAAAATTCATTTTTATAAAGTTTCACTATATCCATAAAACTGGATCGAAAAGTTCTGTCAAATGACCATAAATTAACTTCAGAGCAGGGTTGTCACTTCCTCTGATTTTCTTATGAGAAACTTGGTTTATTAAATTATTCAAAAGATTTGACACAATACAATCTGTTAATTTTATTTAAGTAGGTTGTGGTAGTTGTTGACTACAGTCAATGATTGCCTATGGTCACAAAAAAAAACTTTCTGCATTATTTTCACTTTTAGGTTTTTGTTAGTCTCATCAAGACGTCCTTATGAATCTAATATATTTGAAATTAATGATCTAAGATAAATAGCTATGATTCTTTGCTTTATAATTTCAAAACTGTTCTCTTCAATAATAAGGACGAGTGAACACCGAATTAAAAAAAGAACATTATGGAGTAATCCGTATTTGGAAATACGTATTAGCTTTGGTTCTATAATCAAAGAAACAATACCATTTCAATCATTTTGTATGTTACGTTTATTAAATTTAGACGGTAATGCAAGTCTACTGTAGTGAGACTATTTACCTCTATGTCGCCAAGTAGCATTATTAATAAAATATCGTCCGTATTTTGTTTTATTCAATAATGTTTGATTTTCTCCATTTAACATCCATATAAGACTATAAACTGGTTTTGGATTTCCATTAAATTCTTCACAATTAATTTCAATCGATGAATAACTATTAAATGAACGTGTAAAATAATAATTACCATATAAATATGCTTTATATTCAATATTTAAAATATCTGTTAAAGTAACATTAAGTATAACGATTTGTTTTAAATCTTGTTGAATAAGTGCACAAGATACTGTTTGATTATGATCATTTTGATTAAGTTCATAATTGAAAAGATAAGCTGTATATATATAAGAAATAGATGATGATGATGATGATGAAAGTAGTTGATAATGATCAGGATCATTATTATAGATAATCATAAACCAAGTCGATGAAAATAAAGAACGTGTTTGTTCAATATAAGTACGATCCGCATATAAAGATATTGAACAAGTAAAATTGATCGATTGTTCAGCATGATAAGTAATTCGTTGAGATGATGGTGGAGTTATGAAAAGTGAAAGATTTTGTGTAAATAAGATTACCTAAAGGAATAGTTTAATCAGATTAATTTGCATGCTTTGGTTTTTTTAGAAAAAGAAAACATACATGATAAAGATATTGTTTATAAGTATTTAATTTCGTTTGAATTTTTAATGTATAAAATCCTTCATCACCAATAGATGTTTTTTTTATTAAAAGTTTTGTTCGATTTATTATATGGTATCGTGATTGATTGGCAAAAGTATATAATGGTTTCAAATCAATAATACCTTTGTACCAAAAAATTGTTCTAAGACTTTCGCCATCTGTTAGTTCATCGATTCTATCGATATTGAATATTAGTCTTGTGCCAAGTACAGATGAAACTAGTATAATATTGTCATGATTATTGAGAACAGTATTATGATGCTCAGCAATAATCAAATTTAGAAAAACCAATACAAGAAGTATCTGATAGTTGAGTAGCATTTAACGCGCCTCGCATAATCATTACTAATCAGCTGTAATACAGCTATATAAAGAAACTTTTTTTTTTTGGATTTCAAATGAAAAATTCGCTTTTTTTATTTGTTTACTAAATATACCTGATCAACAAATAGTCATGTGTCAGAAGAATATACGGCTTACAAAAGCATTTTGAAATTCTTTATATTATGTTTGTTCCTTCATTGGTTTAATCACTTGAGAAATATAATAGCTCCTTTATTTCTAGAAATTTCTTCGGGTGAAATATGATGATAAACCAAATATATAGAAAAACTATAGCCGAATTCGAATACCATTTGAAATTTGCATTCAACACGAAAAACAATAAGTGTCACATATTGTTGGATTTTTAGTTCCATATTGTTTGTAATCCATAACATGATATTCAAATTTAACTAATTATGTAATTTGAACAAAAGTTTAAATTTAAAAAAAAAAAAGAATGAAATATAAACATTCAAATAGTGTCGTGCAATCCCATCGAGTATTCAGCGACCAGAACATTGGTTCGGGTTACGAGTATGATTCCATATCCGGACTCGACACGTGAATAAATGAGAACTCAACGTATCAAAATCATTTTTAATTAATATTCATTTACAGATGATGGTCAAACATATGATGAAGTAACTGAATATAGGAAGAAGAAAATGAATTATCGAAAAAGGTGAACATGTATTATCGTAATAAAAAAAAAGCATTCATGTATATGCCCACAATTATGACGTTTGGCATTAAAACACTTCATCTCATTTCAGCATTATCAGCAACAAGAAAACGTGTACTTTTTCATAGAAAATAAATCTTTGAAAAGTGTGTAGGACACTACATAAAAATACATTATTTTAATAACTACTTTACCTGAAAAAAAAACAAATTTTTCTATAAAATACATCAAAGGATGAAGATGATGATACTCATAGACGGTCGTATTACTTGACCCGATAATGACGACGATGATACGTACGACGTAGTATGATATCGCGTTTCGCATATGCTTCTTTTCACTTAGAAAGGGGTCCATTTTCTTCACTCTCCTCGAGCTTCTATAAACACTTATTATTGAGTTCAAAACGCAAAAGTTATCTAGTCGATTAGTGCAGCTCAACTCACAACCATATACGATCATTTACGATCATACTTTTATCAATCAGCGATATGATCATTGCAAGATTTCAATTCATAAATTAAAGACATAATATCAAATTTGATAAATACACTCAAAGGATCATAGAATTTATTGACAGTTTGTTGACTTAATCATCTCTTTTGAAAATAATATTTAAATACTAATTGAAATAGTACTACTGTTTTTCTATGATTCGATATAAACAAGTACATACTATATATTTTTTATAGCGTTTATTTTTATTTAACAAAAAACAACTAAAATCAATCCGATTTTTTTTTCTTAACAAATTTAATTTAAAAATATATTTTCTTCATTTATAATCTATGCCCAGCGAGAATAAATATAATGAAAATACATTGTAAACTATAAATTACTGGATGAGTCAAAGGAAAAACAATACAGATTTGGACAAACAAATCATTCATTCAATCAATCAACGTTCTTTTTTATGAGAACCTCCACTGCCAATGCGAGATTCAGGTGTATCATGTCGACCAACATCGAATTGTGGTAGATGACCTTTTCTATCTTTTTCTTCAATTGCTTTAATTGTATCAGTTTGAAGATCAGTCATATCCTTTTTGTCATCACCTTGTTTTCTTGCATGTTGCTTTTCTCCTTTGACAATGGCTTCTATAAGATAAATTTTTATGTGTATACATATAAGAAGAAAATTCATATCAGATTTTGTTTTTCTTACCACTATCTGAAGCTACAGTATCTAACCATCGTTGTTCTTTACGTGTTTTCAGATCATGAGAAGCTTTTTCTAAAGCTTTCGATCTTACATGATCACTATCACTTAACTTTGTTGCAGTTGTTGTTAATAAACGAAGTGATTTGGTTGCTAACGACTGTTGATTATATACAACAGCAGAGATAAATCGAGTTAACATTGTTTTAAATTATGTTGAATAGATCTGTAATGAACTCAATGACACTATTTCATTTCATTTATTTACTACTATCGCAATTAAATAATAGACCAATGGAGAATAATAGTTTAAACGTTTTTTATTGGTTAATTGTAAACCAGTAACAAACTACGATGGCACAAGTAGTCAATTTAATTTGCCCTATATTCTCTTATTCTTCACAGCTAAAAGCTATTAAAGTAACTCAATTTATTTTATTCTAAATAACAATAATATATTAAAAGAAAAACAAAACGGTTTTTGTAGATGAATGAATCTTCTTAGTTGATCACTTGTCATTGAGACTTGTTTTTGTTGTATATATATATATAATTGTTGTTCTTTATCAAAAAAGAAAAGTAAAAGATACTATTACCAGACTTGTTTGCGTATCAACCAGCTGCAAGAAAAAAAAAACGAAAAAAAAATGCTACTAAAAGACTAAGGGTAAGCATACAACGTTATCGTAGATCTTTACATCTTCTATCAGTCTTTATTCATGTTTTTTTAGACTCCTTTTTTCTTCTCTGTCTTTGTTGTCTTTTTATTTGTTGTAAACCGACACATTCTCAAGAGATATTTATCATTTATTGTCATCAATTAATATGAATTAGACTCCCTAGGACTTACAACTAACAAATCGAAATCAGTTCGATAATAATAAAGAATAAATCAAGATTGTTAAACAATTTTTTCTTTTAATATAACACTTCAATAAATCGTGTTATCTAAATCATCATTAATATTAAATATTTCATTATATATTCCTTTAAATGATGGCTAATAAAAATGATGAGCATCATCTGTTGACACAAAAATTAATAAATATGAAACCAACAGCAGATGTACACAATATTTTACCATCAGTTCCGATGAATTCAAGTGAGAAGAAAAAGAAATTTATTATGATGATAATTATTTATATTTACTTAGGTAGAGATTCTAAACGTCATCGAGCAATATCTCAACCAGACGGATCTACACTATACACGGTATAAAATATACTATTCATATCAAATTATTAATCATAATAGAAATGTTTTCTTTTTTCAAATATTATTAGGTTAGTAGTACTGATACATTAGAAAAGGTAGCACTTCATTTTAATTCAACACCATCGGCATTAGTTAAACTCAATAAACTAAATACACGTACTCTTTATCCTGGACAAGTTTGTTTCATTTTTATTTAATTAATGTCTAATAAAATCTATCCGTTATTTTTCTTTTATAGATATTATTTGTACCTGATGAAAATTCATCAAAGAATTCAAATGAACAACAATCAACAACTGTTATTCCTCCTGTTCCTACGGATACAACCTTATCTTCACCATTAACAAAAACTAAAGATAGCGATACATTTATTCTTAAAGATAATCGTTCATCAAGTGTATCGTCTTCTTCGCCACCTCATCATTCATTACAAAAAGATTTGGGTCCTATGGTTTGGTCAATGACTCGAAATATAACAGCACGACCAGGTCATGCTGAACGATTAAAAAGTGATTCAACTAATGAAGATGAACCATTATTAAAAACAAATGAAGATCATTTAAAAACCTCGAACGAAGATAATAGTAAACAAATGAAAACATTACAAAAGTCTGTGTCAATAGATAAAAGTCATCGGGTAGATAATGAATGCTTACAACGTTTTATTAAAGTTAATGTACGATTAATGACTGAAGATCATGTAAGTATTTGTTTTCGTTTTTTTTTTCTGTAGAAATTGTCATAAAGATATATTGAATAATATACTATGAAGAATTTAAAAAAATCTGTCTTCGTTTCTATTTCAACATGTGTCTTTTAAATATTACTAACAAACAAGCTTTGAAATTGTATATAAAAATGATTGACATATATAATGAAAAACATGTTTTTGTTTACTGACCTTAGATAAAAATACATGTACAATGAATATTTTTAAATTACGTATAACTGAATGACTAGCATAAGACAATTGAATTAAATCTAATATGAAGAAAATACTTAATGTTTCTCATTTAAATTAGTTTAAACAGTAATGATATCTAGACAAATGATATTATTAGATTAAATTATTATTATATTTTTCTTTCAAAAATAAATAATTGTAAAGGATGAGAGTTGTTTTAAATAATAACTATGGATTTATGAAATGAAAAGAAATTTGAAATGGTATCATTTAACTCATACTAATTAAATTATTCTTAGATACTCAATCAGTCGAAACTATTCATTTAGCAAATAAATTCAGTAGAAGTTTTAATTAATTGAAGGTTATTTTTAGAGCTCTTTTCTGCTTAAATGCCTACTCGAAAAAGCTAAAATAGTCTAACATTATAAAAACTTCGATGTTTAACACTTTCAGCCATTTATGCGTCTTTGTTTTCTGCTTATATTAGCCAGAATTATGTATTGTTTTATTCGCATAGACAAAATAATTTCGTCATTGTCTCCAAATTACAAAAATAAAGGGATTGCAAATAAACTTTAAATATGCTATGGTAGTTGCTTCACACTTATTGAGCACATATTGATGAAAAAAGAAATTTCTATATGATGTTTTCAAAAACTTTTATTATAGGAAAGTGTCGCCGGTACTTTACTTGTCACACCTAATGCAGTTATGTTTGATCCCGATGTACTCGATCCATTGGTTAAAGAACATGGTATTGAGAAATACGGATTGATAATACGGTTAGTCGAATATTTCATTTTCATTTTATCGTATCATACAAAATTTTTAATCATGAATTTCCTATAAAAAATCCCGATAAATTTGAATTTATTAAATTGATGACATTGTACGAGAGAGAAAATAATTGATTTTCTGTTTTTTGAATTTGTTGATTAAAATAAGAGACCTGTAAATATTAGCTATTTCTTATTAAGGTAAAGAAAATAAATAATGCTACCATTGACAGCTAGGACTTCGGCACTTATCATATTTTAATTAGAAAACAAGCGAATGTTATTAAACGTACTTGTTCTATTTTAAGACCTTTAAATGATAAGTGAACTGATAAGAGATACATTAAAAGAACAAAAGAAGTCCTTTGTTGATTTAAAATATAGAAATATCAATTGTTACATTTGATGAATCAACACTCAGAGATTCCAATAGTAAAGATAAATTATGTGTGATTTTTCTTGTACAACAAGTGATCGGAGAGTTTTTAGACAAGATGTTAAGTCAAGTATTGTGGCACTTTTTGAAAGACCTGAAAAATTATCTTTAATTCTCAGTCAACAGGTTTTTGTTTACTCTACGACTCCCTTTTCGAACATGTTGAAAATTGTCGAAGGCAGCCGTATTGTAAAGCGAACATTTTTCTACAAAATGTAAGCTGTAGCTTTCACTCAAGCATTTTCCCATGAACTCTTTTTGATGTAACAACGGTTGTCGATTTTTTAAAAAGGAATATTAAGAAAAAAAAACGAAAACTCAGACATCTTATCTAAAGAGAAAAAAAAAGGACTTTAAATAGTAATGAAAATACAAAAGTTTTTCGTCTAAACTAATTTTTTTTGACTTTTCAAAGATTATTTAATTATTTTCGAATTAAAAAAACCGAAACTCATAACTTTTGACTTGTCGAAAATATTTTCTAGTAGACCAAAATTTAACAAACATCGTATGCACAGACACTTACAATATGATTATAGAAACATATAAAGAGAAGAATAGCAATATTTTATCGAGATTTTCTCTTCTGGAGAGTGAGCATCTATTTTTGGGAACACAGACATATTGTATGTCGTACAATAATTATAAATTCCATGTGGACTATTTCGATTTTTGAAAGATTGCTGCTGTCATCTGGAATAAAACACTGGCGAATAAAATTCTTCGTTTATACAAAACATAAAAATGAATATCTTTGACATAGAACTAATTGATTTTCTTCAAATCAATCAGATCAATTATTTGTTATATGTTAACTCTTTTTTCTTCTCCTTATTCTATTATTAGAATGGATTATCTTGCTGGTATTAGTTTATATGAAGATTTAGCAATATATGAACATGAAGCAACATTCCAGTAAAGAAATTTTTTGTTGTTGTTGTCTATTTCTTTCTTTTTTTATCAATAAATTTTTATTTCTAATATAGTGATGAAGAAAAACGAAAAATGTATCATTCAACAAGTTTAAAAAGTTTTCAACATTCTCTAAAACATCCAACAATTAATAAAGATGAAGAGGATATTCATGATTTAATGTCATGTTTATTAGATAAAATTGATAAAGAATTAAATCCTTCATCCATATCAAATGAAACATATATGTTATTTAATGCAGCATCAACTATTAAACGACAAATGTCATTGAATTCACCAGATAATAATTATAATGATGAAACATTTCTTCCAACACCAACAGAGGATAATTTTTTAGATGATTCATTACAATTATCAAATGATTTACTTCAACCACTTGATGATTATAAACATTCAATTGGAATTTTACTTGATGATGATGATGATGATAATGATAAAAATATAAATATAAATCTTCATCGAATACCATCACGTAAGTTATTTTTTGTTTTTCATCTGTATTTAATAAATATATTTTATAATAATCATATAAAGAAATTTCCTATGTCTTCGATTGGACACGATTCAGACATGCTGTAAAAATAAAGAGTACGTTGCTGCTGCTGCTTCGTGCTTATCAAAATTTTTCTTATGAAGAAAAATGAAAAACAGATTTAATTTAATTTATTGTCTTGTGTTTAGAAGGATGTGTTTTGAAAAATTATGTACCACTTGATCAATTTACTAAACGTTTTGGTGAAATCGACGGTAAGTTCTTTTTTGTTGTGATGATTTTATTTATTTTTAATAGAAAATCTTTTTTTTTCTTTATCATGCAGAATTATTACGTAAACAACAAGAGAATTATTTTGCTCCACACCATATTGAAATACCTTATTATTTATGTATAAAAACAAGTATTCATGCACATGATATACCATCATTACGTGCAAAAC